TGCAGGAGTTGGACAAACCTCGTCACGAACATACAAATAGAGATTCCGCAAGCCGCTCCGGCCGAGTGCGCCAGCCATACCTCTCGCGAACCCGTACGACAGGATAGGGCCTACGCGAGGCACGACTTACCTCCACCATACGGGAGTTGTCACCTCCCTTTGGCGGGCGTATCCCCGCTGAGCTACCAGTCCACAATACGAAAGTTGATGAGTTGCAATCGCAGAGGTGGACCAGCCGAGGGCGTTTCTCGTTCGTTGTAGCATAGGGGGTACGCGCGGTAATATGCCTATCGGGCCCGCACGCGAACCGACATCTGGGGGGGCTAAAGTCCCAAGCGCGGCTCGTCGTCGGTCGACTAGGACACATCCCACGCACCACGCACACACCGCGCGACTATACCGAACCATACCATTGTCGGTGTCGTGCTCCGTACGTACACGCAAGTCCCCGACAAGCACATCAATCGGTGAGACAATCTTTTTAATCCCTAGTTTAATCGAAAAATAAAAATCTGGTCAACAATCACGCCGATTCCCCAATCATCAACAATAAAAACGGATCACGCGCGCCTCAAGTCTGCGCGCCCACGCACTCTTTACTCTAATCAACCATCCAGTCAACGCAAAATACAGACGCGGCTGCGCCTAGCGTGGTATACTTAAACTTTGAACCAAAATTATTTTATGTCGCTAGCAAAAAACAGGGCAGATACCCTTATAAGGGTATTTACGCCGACAACGAGACCAAGTACGTCGAGGCATATGGCAAAGAGCCGCAGCGACACAAAGCCAGACAAACACACGGACAAGAGCAGGGAGTGACAAGGGGGTAAACGGAGTGTAACGGCGAGTGCAGAGCCAATAGCGAAAAGCAGAGAGAGGGGAAGAGGTTCGTAGAGGACGGCCAGTGGGGTAAGGCAAAGAGGGGAAGCGACAGGCGGCAGACTCGGTCAATCGCCCGGACCGGAGAAATAAATAAAACGGGTGAACTGTCGGAGAGAGCTGAGTGCAGTGTGCAAACCAAGTACTCTTCTTTGAGTCTTCTCTTCCATAGCTCGCCGTCTCTAGGCCCTGCATGAGTCGTAAGGAGAGGAATCTTCTGAACTGTAACTTTGGTGGTGGTGTCCCAACCCTCCATAGCTCCCTCTGGATTCTCTCTCGACTTCGCTTTGGTCCGCTTCCTCTCTCTCGATGTCGCTTCCTCGATTCCGCTATGTTCCTTTCTGTGCGTGCTAACCGGAGCAAAGACTTTGTAATCCAGGCTGTAAATGGCACGGTCGGGTTTGATTCCGGTGCAGCTTCCCAAACCAACGCACTCTGCGTGGGCCACATATCCTGAAATTTCTACCCGATTCCTTCTCGATGTTCTCGTTGCCGTTTCCACGACACTGGGCCTCGATCCACTACTACTCATTCGGATTAACCAAACTGACTGTTAGACCACGCCAAGCTTGGTGACGCAGCCAGGGCGAGGGGCTTTCCTTTGTTGATGGAGAGGCTCAGCCTAAAAGGTGGACCCCACCCGACGGAGGCTTGGAAAAAAAAAAGCGCCCGATCGTTTTGGAGACCCCACCGGTGATGGAAAGAGGTGTGGAAAGCCTCTTTGGAACGGTTTTCCAAACCCAACCGGTGATGGAAAGGGGTTGCCGAAATGCTGACGGGGCGTTTCTACATGGTCGGCGGTCTGGAAAATCGTTGCCCGATCGCAGCATTCCTTTCCAAACATGGCCCCCAGCAGAGTAGGGGTGGGCATGTTCTACGATGGCATCGGAGGGCCAGACAGCATGGTCCACGCGGCGGTGGAGGGGACCATTTTTTGGACCTGCGCTGCCGCTGCGGACAACCGGTTTGTTGTCGCACGGTTCGCACATGGGCCTCTGAGCACAGGCGGGTTCCGCGTCCCCGTATTTTTCAAACGGCCCTGCAGCGGTGCACAAAATTTCAAATTCAAAATTTTTCGCGGGGAGAGGACGACGGCCAGCCATGCAGCAGTGACGTACGTTTGCGGGTGTGCATGTCACAAATTGCGTTGATGCTTCGAATACACCGGCGTCCTCACCTTCTCCCTCCGCATTTGTGGTGACGTGCGCGCTGCCATGTCGTCGCTGGTGTCGTTGGCACGTGCAGGCCGTGAGGTGTGTGTACGGGGTTGTCGGTCATGGTGTCGTATTGACAAAGTCCGTGAGGTGCATTCCAGTGTTGTCGGAGGTGTGCGGACCGTTTTGTGTGGACGGCAACGTGGAAGACAACCCGTGCAATGCGTGCATCCTGTGTCGTGTCGTGTTGCGATTCTACAGCCTGCGAACTTGTCGTCGCCGATGGTGCAAGTGACATGGGCCATAGTTCCAAGGTTCTGTGCTTTGCCATCTCCCGTCGTCTGGCTCTCCAGGCAAGGTGTGTGTGTGTTGTCGGCAGACACAGACATCGGCAGACAGAAGGTGGGTTGGGGGGCATGTAGGAACGTGCACGCCACTCCACAACCCCTTCCTCGCCACGTACTGGGTCCTCTTCCTCCTTGGCAGGCGTCGACGTGTGAGGGCCAGCGTCAGCGTTTGTGCATGCATGCCGTTGTCATGGACAACCGCTGCTGTTGTGGTAGCCGTCACAAAATCCCGTCTTGGGTTGTCCTCACAGGCATCATTGCGGTACTTCTCCTCGTGGGTGCCGCGGTGTTACCCTTCTTGATTTTAGGGTGTGTGGCTGTCCTTTTTTGCTGGTGTCGGTGAAGGTAGTTCAGAAGGGTGTGTGTGTGTGTGTGTGTGTGTGTGAGAGAGAGAGAGAGAGAGAGAGAGAGAGAGAGAGAGACAGAGAGAGAGAGAGAGAGAGAGAGAGAGAGAGACTTTTTTTATTGGTAGGTGCAGAAGGATGGATTCTAGTCGATGGAGGACAGATCTCCCGGCGGGCAACGATGGGGGATTCCAAACGCAAGACGTTCCCGTTTACGGATCTGTGTCGTGCTCTTCGCCATCAACGTCGGTGGCTCAATCCCTCACCGGCCAGTTGTTTGACGGGGGTCGAGGCTTGCTGATCCATATACCACGGGCCCCTGTCCCTGCTTCCGCACATCAGCATGCGGCAGGGACACGTGGACGGTTCCCTGGATGGGCGTCTATGCAGAGTATGCCTACAGGAGCCATGTACATGGGCCATGGTCCCCTCCCGGGTCCGATTGGTGTCGGATACGGCACACCTGCTCCGCATTCCTTTGAGGCCGGCTGCGGATTCGGCATTCCGACACAGGACGTGTCATCTTAGCACAATGTTGACAGGGGCAGCTTGATGAGGAGTGATCGATCGTGGTCCCCACAGTGCGAGCAGACGTCGCAGTAAGTGAACGGTGCAATGGGCAGCCCGAGTCGACCATCGGCCAGACGTACGCCTTGTCATCAGTCGACTTCCATGCTCGATGCGCATTGCCAAGAGACCAACCAACGACAATTTCGTCAAAATGGACATTTTTTATTTTTTGAACGAAATTGAAAATGAGTTTTTTTACAAACGCTGGACCCCCTGACTGTACATGGACCTAGCTTCAGACCAAGCACCTCCAGGCAGGACTGCCTGGAGGTACCTGGTCTCAAGCTAGGTCCATGTACAACCAGGGGGTCCAGCGTTTGTAAAACGCTGGACCCTTAGGAACAGCAAATTTTGACGAGTTTTCGGCAAAAAAACTCAGTTTCAATTTCGTTCAAAAAATAAAAGATGTCCATTTTGACGAAATGGAAGTAAACCAGGGATGACCTACAGGAAACCATTTATCCGGAACATCAGGTTTTAATGACGATGTGGATGAAGGTGAAGCGTGCGAAGGTGATGACGACGGTGATGATGAGGGAGATGGAGTGAACATTCATGTGCAGACTTCAGACAATGCTCGTGGAGACGCAGACAGTGCACAACATTCCAACCAAGGGCGGGAGGGAGGTCGTCCTCATGACAAGCGCAAGGGCAAAAACAATGTTGCGACAAACAAAAAACAAAACGTTCCTTGGACGTTGGAGGAGAGGAGCACCCTGGCGAAGTTGATGGGGGAGGACGACGCCCTCATGGCTGACGCAAAGGGTCAACATCAGTTCATGAAGATGAAGGAGCGGTATGCCTGAGTGCAAGACCGAATGAAAGACAACGCATTCCGGCACAGGACAACGGAAGATTGTCGGAAGAAATGGATGAACATGTTGAGCAAAGCGAAGCTAATCCTGGACAGGTGCTAGAATGCGTTTGGCATGCCTTCGTACTTCGAGTTGCCCGTGGAGAACCGAAAGGAGCTGGAGGTGCCTCTAGCCTTTGAGAGACCGCTTTGGGAGGCGATGCAGTGGAAGTTGAATAGACCGTCCATGACCTGTGACGAGACATTGGCGTCCGAGGATCTGACCGGCGGAGCTGGGGAGACAACTCAAAATGACGGTCCCGGGAATCGTGGTTCGGGGAGAAGCGGTTCAGACGCTAGAACGACGAACAATTCCGAGGGTCCATTGAAGAGACGAAGATCGAACAACGGCAAGGCAAGAGTGGAGGACATGAGTTGCAGGGGGTCGTCGTTGGGGAGGGTGATGGAGGATTCTACAAGGGCGTATTGCGACGGTCTTGACAAGGCCGTCTCCTCTCTCGCAAAGGCAACATCAGAAGTCGGCACAGCGATCGAGGTGAAAATAGGTGACGTTGCAGACGCCATGAGGGGGGGGAACACTGTACTTGAGATGCTTGTCGGGGATCTCGCCAGACGGTGGGGTGGGGAAGGTACGGTGCTGACGGGGGGGGGGAGATGCAGACCCGTCCTCGCGTTGATGTATATTTATATAATATATATATATATAAATATATATATATATTTTTTATATATCCGGAAGGTCGCGGGAAAGCATCGAACAGAGCGCAGCGCTGGGGAACTACTCTGGCCCGATGCCTACATAAGCTTGGGCAGGGACTGCTGTGTATGACGAGCAAACCGTGTCGTGTCGGAGGGCAAAGTTCCTGCGCGGAATCCGTCAATTGTGGGA